TCCTAACTGTAGAAAAAATAAAAGTGGTTTGAGATGTTAAATTTAATCTAAAAAAACTGTAATGAAATCATGGACTAGAAGTCATAGTAATTACCGTTTAAAACTAAAGTGTTTGTATAAAAATTAATACAAGATACCATTTTACATTTTATAGGAAAGATTTAAAAAATAATAATACCTAAAATGGAGAAGTCCATTATATCTTGTATCAGAGGATAAAATTACAGTTAATTTCTAGTACTCAACTTCTATGAAACCAAATCTTTTATAAACGACTAAAATTCACTGGTATAACAAGGATGGACTTTGGAGCCAAAAACACATGTAGTCAAATTCCAAATGAATGACCTTGGGCAAGTTTCCTCACCTAAAAACATAAGAGTAACAGCATCTACCTTGATAGTATGGTAAAAGGATTCCATAAATTAATATAGTAAAGCCCTCATGGCACCAGCTCAACAAGCCTGACACATAATACTTTCCCAAATTCTTGTTAGCTCGTACGTAAAATATGTCAGAAGTTAATGAATACCCTGGTTAATCAAATTTGTAATATGAATATCTCTGACTAGATATATCTGAAACATCACATAAACCACTTAACATGGTCTCTCACTGTGTTTTCACCTTTAACAGCCATAGACTCTCTGAGACTCATACTGGCTTTGATCTCTACAAGGATGTATCCTTCTGGAACATATCCATAATGGTTAAACCCAGGCTACGGTTTAGGTCTAAGTTGCATCAAAAACGTGCATACGTGTACACACATATGTGTGTGTGTGTGTGCATGTATATACATAAAATTAAACTCAGATAACATGTATGCTACTCACTTTCATCAGGTCCTACATCATTAGTCTAAAGCAGCAGTCCCCAACCTTTTTGGTACTAGGGACCAGTGCCATGGAAGACAATTTTTACACAGACAGGGCGGGGGTGGGAGGATGGTTCTGGAATGATTCAAGTGCATTACATTTATTGTGCAGTCAAACTTCTCTGCTAATGATAATCCGTATTTGCAGCCACTCCCCGGCACTAGCATCACCGCCTTAGCCCCATCTCAGATCACCAGGCATTAGATTCTCAGAAGGAGCACACAACCTAAATCCCTCGCATGTGCAGCTTACAGTAAGGTTCGCGTTTGTATGACAATCTAATTCCCCCACCCCCCATCTGACAGGAGGCGGAGTTTATGCAGTGATGTGAGTGATGGGGAACAGCTGTAAATACAGATGAAGCTTTGCTTACTCGCCCACCACTCACCTCCTGCTATGCAGCCTGGTTCCTAACAGGCCATAGACTGGTACCAGTCCACAGCCCAGGGGTTGGGGACTGCAGGTCTAAAGAATTCGTTTTAACTGTTAACTATATCATTATATGTAGAAAAATAAATAAGCTATATTTACCTCGAATTGCTTTTGTGATGATAAAGGATGCACCATGTTTTCGGTTGCCTCTAGGCTACAATTAAAAACAAAAACCTTACATTTGAGAATATTCTATTACTACTTACACAATATGTAAACTCACTCTTTTTTATGGGTACAAGGTATCAGTATTTTAAAACTACTTATAGATCAAAACAAAAAAAAGGAGACTCAGGACTGGCACAATAGGAGAAAATGTGAGCATGGCAGAGGTACAGGCACATGTCAGGATGAACCTTGCAGGAGAGGACAAGGATTGAGGCTGGAAACTGTTTCCAAATCAAAACACCAATCCAAAGACAAGAGGAGTCAAGGGCAAAGACCACACTGGTAGCACCTGAAACAAGTTTCGCTCACAAGAAAACTGGTCATAGGGATTAATAAACTCATCTCTGACAGCAAATTCACTGAGTATCTGTTGTACATCCACAGAGACAATGCTATTAACAAAAAGCACAGAAAATTGCTACGTTAAATAATTCTATTCCCTAAGTACAGACTGGACACCCACTATGGGTAAGTTCAACAACACTAGGCACTACAAAACATGTACTAAAGTGCTGTTAAGAAAAGTGCAAACAGATAATACTTAAAAATACAGAAAACTTATTTCAGTCAACAAACATGAATTGATGTCCAATTCATTGAAGACATAATTTGGCCCTGGAGAGGGATATAAAGATGAATAAGATGTAGCTGCCCTCCAAGAGCTTATAGTTCAACAATTGAAATCAATACCATGTAGAAATCAATAGAACTGCGCCCGCCCCCCAAAAAGCAAAGTGCCTTGAGGTTTCAATGTAAGTTGATGCTGTGCTTATCTTTTTAAAATCAATTTATGTTAAGCATTCTGAAACACTATTGCAATTAAGGACGAATATTAAGGAATAGAAATTCATCCTTATCTGGCAGCAGCAACAGCTTCCTCCTAGCTGCATACCCTTCAAAATATTCACATTGCTCAAGACAAACTAAACAAATACTTGAAAAACAATAATATATGCAGATCTCTGTCCATCTACAAAACACATTATTCAAAATACCCAGAAACTGCAGCGGGAAGGAGGTTATAAAGAAAAATATACAAACTTTATAGGAAAATGAGCTTAAGAATGAGTAGTTTCTCCAGTAAAGAAACACTCAGAAAAGATATAAAAGAGAATTCATATGGGCTGGACTCCATAATCTTTAATAAAGATCCTTTTCATCTTGCTGCTTCCTCTGAGTCTCAAACAGTAACTGGTACGTTAGGCACGCAGTATCTGTTGAGTAAACGTGGATCCGTGGTTCCTTCTCTTCACCCTAGGCCTAGGAGGCCTTCCCTAGGAAACAACTGATAAACCCAAGGTCCAGTTCATAAATTATCAAGCCTTATAACCCCTTGTCTAGCAGAGACCCCAACCCTGGTCAGCAGCTCCTTACTCTTCACT